GGGCGCAGTCATTGAAAATATTATATCCTCGTCGTCGAAATTTGACGAAGAATACAAAGAAAATGCATATAGACAATTATTATATAAATATATATTAAATCCAGTAAAAATGGAGCATACAATTTATGAAAGTGGACACGATGATGATTATTATAAGAAGGGTAATTATGCAAAGAAATATCAAATTGCACAAGGTTTGTCATCTAGTTTTGGGATTATATTGTGAAAAAGAATTCTTGAAGAGCCATTGTTTAAGAAAGTCGATTATGGTGACAGTGTCAGATGGAGTGGAAATATTTACCATAGCTAGTAGAAAACAAGACTAGTTTACTGTAAAAATATTAGACTTTAATATTGTTCTGTTCAAGAGTTATATATACATGAGAGGACTATAGAAGACATGAAAATGGCGGATATTATACCAAACACTCATTTTTACTGAAAAGACAAAACGCAGGAGCATGAAATTTTTGGTCACATATTTAAAGATCAGTCTGCAAATTTGAGATACCTTATCATCGCTCTCATACCACAACGCCTAAAAGTACTATTTCCTAAAGTATTGGGCTTTTTTAACAGCTATTTACTATTGTCTATGCAAGACTTTTGTGCCGATTTTCTTCACATTCTACTAGGTCATGACACTGTCGCTGCCATTTGTGACAATAAAACGAACAACAACACTTGCAACAGTACAATAAAACTTATTCATTGTGAATATATGGATATGAGTGTGGCACGTGAAGCCGGTGGCCTGTTGACTAGTGTTAAAGATTTTTATTTATGGCTCGAAGCACTTTTCGGTAGTACATCGTCAAAACATTTAATTAAACCTATTCTTCTAAAACAAATGATAACGCCGTCCCGCGTATCCAGAAAAAATCCGTATGGTTGGGATGGCTATGGCTATGGTCTGGCAATTAGTGACGATGGTAATGTCATAGAACATAGTGGTGAAGTGTATGGTTTCGAAACATATTTTAAACGTTTAATGGAAGAACAGATTAATATTATTCTATTTTCAAATATATTTGAAGGTCCAGTTGGCGATTACGCCGACCATATACAAAATATATTAATCACAACTGAAGAAGGTGAATTTGATGCGCACATACTTCGGCAACGATTTAATACAACATTGAAAACAAAAAAAAGATTTAAAAATAAATTTGTATCATAAGTATGGCCAAACTATAGGAAAAGTTTCAAAAACATTTCGCCAAAACGCACTTCTAATAGAGAATGGACTTTACTTTTCGTTAATTATTTTGGTGATGAAAAGTGTTATTTTTCGGTGATAATTTCGCAATGAATAAATCTGGTGATCAAAAAAATACATATTCTTTTACCTCCTCTTCTTTCTTTTCGTATACAGTGCGTAGTTTTTGTTTGTTTTAATTGACACATGATTAAGCGAAAATAAACACTGTCGATAGCTGCAGGATAGGTAAGGTAAGTTAGAAGAGCATACAAAAAAGAAAAAGTATCTGTTACCTGAGAAAGGATATTAACAAATAATAATATATCAAATTTTGTAAAGAAACAAAGTCGTTTTTTGTCGCTGTCAAAAGCAAAGAAATGCGATGATATCGGCGGCCTTAAATAGTTTTCAAAAAGTAGTTGCTTGGATGTACTTAATCAGCATAAAAATGTTCTAAAAACAATAATTGTTCATTTAGTTGTTCAATCTTTAAATTTGATTAAATAGGATCTCCAAAAGCTTGTAATCAGATTTTATGCAACTACAAAGGGTGGTTTATAACTCACTCGACGTATCATTGCTCGCTGACTCCGAATAAACAAGTCGGTCGGTCTGTTCACGGACAGAAAAAAAGTTGTCCATGTAGGTCTGTAACATAACACATCAACATTCTGAAACATTTAAAGATATTAAGCTAGAAGAAAATGCTACTAGGCATACTTTCAGATATGATTTCTCAGTGAAAGCAAGTTTTTCACTACCTATCGTCCCGCGCCTATCAAAATTTTATCTACTTAAGCTGAACCTTTAATTGTAGATATTAGGTTCACAACACACTTAAAAAACATGTTAACCCTTTACCCCACACAGCGGTTCCAGAGCCACTGATGAAACGACTACAGGAATTGAGTACGGGTGTCTCCAATATGACTTGAAAAAGTCCTATTTTGGGCTTCCATAAATTTGATATAGTTCGACCAAAAAACGTTGTAGACAGCTCGGGGACATCTCATGTTGTAGAGAATTGTTTGCTCTATTATTCTACGTAGTTTATTCGCAGGTTCTAGGTGCTGGAAAACTACAGTGGTTACAAAAATTGATCAACTTAGTGTATTTTCGATATTTTCGCAACCATAAACGCTAAAAAGAATTCATATAGTGGCTTGAGTAGGGAAAATTGTTGCTAACTAGGATCTGCGAAAATAAAAAGTATCACTGGATTTCCAATAATAGAGTTTTCTAGAAAACCAAAACTCTAGTTTTCCGACACCTAGAACTTGCGAATAAAATTTTTTCAAACTATGTAGAATGATAGAGCAAACAATTCTCTACAAAATGAGATGTCCCGAACTCTGTGCGACGTTTTTTGGTCGAACTATATCAAATTTATGAAAGCGCAAAATGGGACTTTTTTGCCATCGATCTACAAATAGTCACTCCTGTGACTAAAGGGGGCGGGGGGATAAGGAGTTAAGCAAAATATTACACGGTAAAGATTGAAGCAGAAAAATCGAAAAAAGAAATCCCAATTAGTTGATTTTTTAAACTACATTGAGCTAATTAATGCAAACTAATCAGTTTTCCAGAAAAAAGTTATTTCTAGAGTAGAATTACAGGGTGTATTCCCGATTGGTCGACAGGCTCTTAATTGTTCTTAATTGTCGACACTGGTTTTTTCCCGAACGGTCGACACACTGTTTAATCCCGATTTGTCGACGGTTTTTTTTTTCTCCACTTGTCGACCGTTTATTTTTCCTGAAAAGCCGACACGCCTGGATCAAAGGCTACCGACAATTCCTTAATTGTCGACACTTTTTCTTCTGTAATGAACCTTATGCATATACATGAGTAGAAAAATAGTAGTATAGTTTACAGAAAACTTCCCAAATATAACATACCTTCAATCTTCACATCATCAATTAATTTTGGGAGACGTGGATAGGTTTCATTTTTTGTATCATATAATGAGTTTTTAATTTCCAAAAACTGCGGCAATATCGAGACACCACTTGGATTTGTTGTCTGAGCAGATATTAATTTTGAACGGAATAATTTTCTCACAGACAATGGTTCGTCGCGTATTCGACGTTTTAGTTTTGTACGAAATTCTTCACAGGCATTACGTTTTTCATCTGGTTCGTGACTGTGTGGTGCTGTGAGAATTGGAGCACTATTGTCTTCTTGTGTAGCACGACCAGAGCAATTGGATCGATTCTCACAACGCCAATAGACATTATTATTACGCGTTCTATCTTTCAAATACCGATAGCCATTAAATAGTAAACATGGTTTTCCTTTCTGTGTTTCGATAACTGAGTACATTTTATTGTATTACTTATTAATTTTAACTCGTTTCAATACTTTATAGTCAGATAATGTGCAAAGTCGAAGAAAATTTACTATAGTTATTATAGCCCACATGGCCAAGTCACTTAGTGCACTGTTCAGTTTATAAATTCTGCTATAAGAAAATTGTGTCGACGTTTAGGGAATTACTTTTATACACTGCCAGCTTTGGTCGACGTTTTAGGATAAAAAAATTGTCGACAAAACAGGAATAAAATTTTGTCGACGAAATAGGAATTTTAAAGTGTCGACGAAACGAAAAAAAAATTGCGTCGACGAAACAGTAAAATCTCTTAATTGGCTTTAATTTGTCGACGAATCGGGACTGAACCGAATTACAGAAAATGAAGAATTCTATTAGTTCATCCGAGTGAAAATCAATATAAATACGTACAACAAAGTTATTTTCAAGTTTTTTCTATGATTGAGAAATTGAGAAAAAGCTGGCAGCCATGGCTACAGCATTTAAGAAATTCTACTGCAATAGAATTTCCTAAATGACTATTGAGGAGGGTATTTTTTTCAAGTTTTACTTCTTCAATATGTAGCGGCAAAAATTTGTTTCAACATGTTTTTAACGTTCAGACTTTGCTCCTCTCATTGGGGAACAAATTGATTATCAAGCACATCATACGCACATTTTGTAATAATTATTTCGCACGATTCATTAATTCCAGTTTAATTGTTGCTTAAACTAAACCCGACTTACTACTGAAGCGCTTCGAGTACAAAATTTTGATTTATTATTCACATTTCGGTCTTTTATTCGGGACTTAAATAAACAGTTTAAACTTTTTTAATATCTTACTTCATTTCATTAACATCATAACCAATCACTAAATCATACCGTAGATCACAATGTTTCCCTATAAACTTTAGATGGTCATGGATATGAGAAGCAGAATTACATTTAAAACAGGCTGTATTATGTGAGTAAGAGGAGACATATGGTTTTGGTTACGACAGATAACGACTCCAGTTCTATAACAATTTCACCCACCGTCGATACATTACACAAGGCGACAATGTAGGACACAATATCTAAAGGATCTAGTGTGTTCTGATGTCTGTTGAATCTAAAATTAAAAGCTGTCAAAATTGTTTCTTTTATATTTACATCTTTTATCTTCAAATATTGTATAGCCTGTTGAAAATACTTTGAAAACACTTGTTGATCACCAACTACTGGTTCTAATAATGTAGCATCAAGTAGATGTTTAAAGATAAATTCGTTAGAAAAGATATTCGATATATCCTTCATAGAAAAAGGGTCATACACGCTGCGAAAACATTTTTCAAATTATTAAATGCACTGACTAGATCAAGACAAAAAACTTCAATCTTTCTAGCAAGTTCACCACATAATGATTCAGTATAATCACTAAATATATTAAAATCAGAGACGAAATAATGTGGCAAATATTTGTTTTTAATGCTAAATATAAATAATTCATTAACTCAGTAACTTCACGATATTGAATTCTAGACTTTCGCTTTGGAATTCATCTACCGTTTGCTCCACATACCGAAAAAATATATTTTTGTTATGATGTGATGATAAAGCACCTGTAAAAGAAAATATTTCAAATTTGAAACATGTTCTCAAGGATCGTCAGACGCAGGTCTAGGCACACAATGACATGAAGAGTTGATAATTCTGTTCACAATGTCCTCTGTCGGTCATTGTTTTTCTTCGCGTTTCTTCGTGTCGAATACAAAAAATCGCAGGGTATCATCAAGCAAATACATAGTCTATCGAGTCCCGTACAGCATGTGATTCTTTCTACAATTATAGCTGGGTCATCTATACTAACTTGAGCATCCACTCGAAGATAATAATCTAAGTATTGTTTAAGAATTTAAGAATAATTGTGGCTATGATGTTAAGAAATTTAATAGAAGTTAAATAAAAAATTTTAATAAAAATAAAACATCTAACATATGTTATGTAAGTTCAGTAACATTCTGTACGACGAGCAACTTGAACATGACCGTATCAAATAGGTCGAAATATCGAACTGTAATTTTAATTGGTTTTAGTTTTAAAATTTTTATCTTTATTAAAACTTGTATTAATATTCTTAATATGATAGCCGCAATCATTCTTAAATTCTTATTCTTAATCTTGCTCATAAACTCTCAAAATGTTAAGTATTGTTCGTTTTCATTAATACATTTTATATAACAATTTAAGTAGTTTATCGCTGGATATATAGTCTCTATGGAAAAATTCTTCTGTTAGTGCAGATTTAGAATGTTCATTACGACGAAGATGAAAGAAAACCGATGTATACTAATAATTATTTTGTGATGAACTATGTTGTTGATTTTTTACGAAAAATTCAAAGCCAGAAACAAAATAAGTGTCATGCATAATTTATCGTCAAAAGTTGGATTAAAAAATCTGTCAGTTTTGCTAAATGGATATGAAATTGTTTTAGATTTAATACAGTTACAAACGTTGTGGTCTTAGTTTATTTGTCATTTTTTGTTGTTTAAAAATAAAAGGCGCATTATAAATCATAAAAAAAGATTCTTTAACAATACCAGAAAGATGCTGTGAAAGAAAATGAGAACGGACAGATTTAATAAAAGTTAACGGAGTTAACAAATCAGGGTAAACGGCTCGAATGCGGCCTGGAGTGCTTCTACCCCCCCCCCCTTCCACCCAGAATAGAAGGCCAGTCTGTAGCGAAAATTTTTGAAAAATATCTTAAAGAGAGAGGTAGGACAGTTTTTCACCAAAAAAAGTACAATGTGCGAAACCATCATAGAAGGCCATGCCCTTCTGTTCTGGGGAGGGGTTCACTCTTCTCTTTGCGAATCACGATTTATATAGGCAATTCGTTTATAAAATCTTTGTGCTGTAACAAACTGTGTTTCTGTTAAATTGTTCATTGTCTCGTACGTATCAACTGCTTTCATCAAGTATTCAAGTGATTGTTTGCGATCATGTTTATGTAAGTAATAGAGTGGTGCTAAATTTTCGTAAGTCTCAATTGTTTGTGTAGTCACGTGACAAGGTGTTTTTATTACTGTTTTTATTTAAACGTAGCTTTTACCTTACCATGTATTCTTCGCTTGTAAAACTTTGATTTTTCTCTAGCTCTCTCTCTTTGCGTGCGCGCGTTATCTATCTTATTTATTTTCTCATATCTGTATATATGTATGTTGAATAACCAAGATTTCTAAAATATCCACATCACACCATTTTTATGTTAATTCAATTATAGTGCTGAAGTGATATATTAAAAATGTTCATTTTATGTTATCTTTTATCTTTCCTTGAAAGCAGAAATATTACTTCTAACAAAACAAAGACATGTGAACACAAGCAAAATGAAGACAAAAATAAAATACAAAACTCCAGAAATACCGTATTGAACTTTTTATCTCCCCCTCCCACTTTAAAAGATGGTACAAAAGTCTTGTAAAAATCTGATAAAAACGCTTTTTAACGTGTTACTCCTATTATCTTCAATCGATGTTAAGTATAGTTTAGAGTAGTAACAAAAAAGTGTTAGAGTGAGTTTAGCAAGAGTATTTTATCTCAACAGTCAGAAACAACTTTTTTGCAAGACTTTTGTACAATCCTTTACGAAAAACTAAATATGATTCATCTCAAAGTGCACTTACGTTTCGGTGGGAAGAAACCGTCTAGGTTTCTTAATTTAGTAGCTCGAGTGAAATATTGTCCGCATCACCGTCATTATATCCTCCTACGTAACGTGTCATGACAACTCTAACATTAATATAACGTGTATTAGGTAACACTACACCAGTTGTTGAACAATATTTCAACGATGTTACATATGAACGATCAACAGCTGTAACAGGACCTATAGATGTACTTGTGCCCAAAAGACTACAACACATATCAAGAAATTTAAGTGAAATAATCGTACTATCATTTTGATTAGTATAGCCGCCTAGCCAAGCTGATAAATTATACGTAACAGTATAATTATTAATTGCTAATGAGTAGGAAAGTAAATCAATTGTTTGTGACATACTTGTTGATGAAGAACGTTGGCCATAAAAATAACATCTGCCACGATCACTGTAACAAAGAGCACAGGTGTGAGTATCTATATTGACGGATTTTTCAAATAAATAGCTGTAGAGTAATTAACATACAAAACGAACCTCCATTTATTACCTAGGCCCAGGCGATGTTAGCGTTTGATCGCCATCTGAATTATTATATAAAATCTGTGTAATTAATCCATCGGGCTTCCAGCTTGTTGGAGCCTGCACACTTGAGTTACTAGCACAAAGACCTATTTCAGCGTCTCCATTGATCAAAACATTTGTCCCATAAACTAGAAGATAAAGTAAGGAAAACAGTCTAATTCTATTCTAATCATAAATGAGAAATAAAAGAACTCGCTAAAGAAGCCAACATGAAGCGAGATTTGGAAACATCCCCAATCAATACCTCCCGATGATGCAACTACACTTGCTGTTGGAACTGGATATAAACTCGAATACACTGTAGGACAGGCAGTTGCCGTTGTTGTTGTTCTTGATGAAGTACCTTGAAGAAATTGAAAGATCTCTGTTGTACACTGAACTCAATACATTGCAAGAATGCTGAGGTAGATAAGTACAGTACATACTTGTAACAGACGTTGTTATCGTTAATGTTGTGCTAACTAGAAGAGGGAAAAGTAATTTTGTACATCTCTTTTCAGATTTATTAGATGGTGGATAAGACAGTCACAAAATCATTGAGCTTATTATGCATCTAATAGAAAACTGTCAAAACTATTTAGAATAGTTTTAATCGGGCAAATTTCTAAAAAATTGTGTACATAATCAAAATTTCGAAAAAATCTGATTAATTTTGTGCCTGAAAATTTTAAGATGCAATAATTTGTTCTTATATTCCCATCAGTGAGAGCACTTCTACGCCTGTATTACATTAAAAGAATATTAAGCTAACCTTTGGTTAAACAATGCTACTAGGTAGCGTCAATGTTTCTTGTAAAACCAGAATTATGATAAATATGATGTATTTCTGGTAAATGAAACAGGTTTATTTTAGAACGAGTAGCAGATTTTAGGAAAAATTCTTGTTTAAAAGTAAAGAAATCATCTACAATCAAATATGCCAAAAACTACCTGTAGCCATAGTACTTTTAAACTTGTTCATGGTTGCTAAAATGAAAGATGAATTGTGTTAACATATTTATAATCAGTTCTTGTAACTAATACATGACTGTTTATATTTCTCAGCCAGACTACTTATAACTTTTGATGCATAAGGTAGATTTTCGTCAAAATTCAGTGTATTATACCATTAGTGTTATAGTACAAATGTATGATGAGGAGTTTTAAAAAGGGTTTTTCTCGTTTCTTCGCTAGATTCTTTAGAAATCATGCACCTACGGATTTGGGTTGTCACCTTGTAGCTTCCCAAAAAGTCAGATATCAATTGCAAACCAAGAGCATTCATAGGTAAAACATCAATATTTTAATGGTAAAGATTACGGCGTATTGAATGGGCATATACTCAGTGCTTTATGAGGATTTCCAGAGGATCTCCAGAAAACCTTTTTGATAAAATTTGAGTCTCTAGGTAAAAGAAAAGGTTTTGATAGATAATGGCGCCGCTTCCAGCTGCTAGATGATTGAGGTTTCCAGAAGACTCTTAAAAGGCTTGCAGAAAACCAGAAAAAACGTTTTAGAATGATAGCTGCTCAATTCAGAGGGCTAACAAGACTCTTGCTACCATGTAGCAGTTGGAAAGTATTACCCTAGTGCACAATCCTCGTCTGCAAAGGGATCTGAGCAGATCACCAAGTCCTGGACTGCACTTACCTAAATCAAACGCAAAATTGTGTAGATACCAAATGTAATGATCAAAATTTAAAGATGAACGAAAATACGATGCGCAGGCGACAACAAAAATGATCAAGAAAACACCGAAGAAGACGTAATCACACATACGGACTATATATGTAGTTTACTACTACTACTACTAACAGACCAAACAGCACAGAAGCTAATAATACAGACGACACAGTAGTCTATGAAAAAACCTCTCTCATACGTGAATAAAAAAAGAGACAGAAAGAAACAAGAATGAAAAGGAAGGAATCTAGCTATCTAGCTGAATAATGAGAGAGGCAAGGAAGCACAGCAGTAGTCAGCGCCAACGCTGGTCTATTGTTGTAGCTGACATGAAGATTCTCCGGAAACCCACTGGAAATCCCCGTAAAACACTGATTATATGCCTATTAGATTCGCCGTATTTATCATTAAACTTTTTTGTTTCAATTTCGATTCTTGATATCTCTAAAAAGGTTTTCTGGAGATCTTTTAGAAAGTTCAGACATACGTCCATTGAATGCGCTATAGTCAATTACCTATGAATGCACTTTGTTTGCGCTTCAGACTTTAAAACTTCCTAAAAGTTATTTTAATTTATTAATTTACAATAATTTTAATTTTAAGCAATTAATAAAGGTTGTTTTTTCCCCAGTCATAGTTTTATACAGTAACATGCATTTGTTTTATCGTACACATATGTAGAAAAGTATGTGAAAGATTTTGAAAGATGCACTCTGCTTACCTCTTTGTGTTCTAGTGGCAATAAGGGCACCAGCAATTCCTACTCCGATACATGCAGTCAGGCCTATTGATAATAATAATTTCCATTTTAGTCCAAGTGTATTTAATTGTCGTTTGTGGAAAACAAAACTAAAGATCAAAACAGATAAATATGTAAGCTTAGATTATGGGCTGCTGCAAAATTTACTTTGTCAATGGAACGTTTGGTCGTACGGGTTCTATATTTGCTACATTTATCTGTTAAATAAATAGAAGACTTTACTATTCTATATAGGCTAGATTATAACTCATTTACTTCAGGATCACTTGCCGGTGTTACAGTTGCACTAAAATGAACAGTAAATGCCATTTATTGCTTGGTTATTTCATAAACTAAAATGAAGAAATGCAAGGCACAAACAATGCAAAAACGGAGTAGGTTCTTCTTTTGAATTATTATACACCGTTCGATAGAGTTTTTCGAATTAATCAAGAATATGTAGTTGAGAATTTTTCGAAACTTTCTTTTAGTGTCGAAAAATCAAAAAAAACTCGAAAAAACGACGATGTTCGAAAAAGTTAGATTTTTTGACTTGGGTTTTAGTCGAAACGCTCAAACTATTTTTTCTTATTCGGCTTTAAAAGCTGAACTAAAAAATGATATCAAATTCATTTCGAGGCTAAATGCCTGTCCACCATGAACGTTCGAATGAACCATCGGAAAATAAGGATGAGTTATTTCGCAAACCTATCTAGGTTTTTGTGTCAAGGGATGGAACCTTTGTAATAATGGCATTCTATCCGCTAGGAGCCCAGCTTTAACAGTATGGCTCGCTTTTGTCAAAATGCTTTTTCATTGCTGAGAAAATTCATTTTCTCTAAATCAGAGGCGAAACGTCAGAATTCTACTCATATTTCTCAATTTTCTCATTCGGAACTTAGCTTTTGAGACCTTTTGATCCTGATCCCACATATGATATTTTTATTGCTCGAAACCTAAGGTCTGAATGAGAAAATTGAGAATTATGAGTAGAATTCTGACGTTTCGCCTCTGATTTAGAGAAAATGAATTTTCTCAGCAATGAAAAAGCATTTTGACAAAAGCGAGCCATACTGT